ACTCACCAAATCAACCTTATTCTCCGCACTAGGTAAGAGAAAGACCATTGCGGTCTTCTGCCATTGAATGGCCCAACTCTTCGGTATTTTGTTGAACCATATCTTTTGGGAGAAAAACCATAAGCCTCCTATTATGCATTGCTGGTTAAGGGTTAAGTATTTTGGGGAAACCCAACGAGTTGGTGCCCTCTTCAACAATCAATGAGAACTTTCGTGTCATTCCATGTTTTGCATGCTCCAGAATCGTATTGGTGACACTGTAGCTAATCCAATGGTCTGGTTTGCTGTGTAGCATTCCAGGAGAAGCTTTTAGATCACGTGGTTCAGGAGGCGGGTTTAGATATTCTGGTTTGTCATCACCATTTTTTGTTGCATTGGCTGTTGGGTCGAGTGGTCATGGAGAAGAAGAGGGAAAGAGTGAACGAGAAAATGTGGGATGCGGAGAGAAGGGGAGAGGGAGGATGGAACTGGGGCAGCGGGAATGGGTGGTGAGGGGAAGGAAGCTCTCCCCAAGCCACTCCATAGAATCCGATACTAGCATTATTGTTGTGTCAATTAAGTTCCTTGGAGACATGAGAAATGGCTAGATCATTAGAGGCATTCATAGTATATGCAAATGCAATGGTATGGTATCCAGAGGCTTCTGATACCTAGTCACAAAAATAAGACAAAATTCAGCTAGAAAGGCTGGTTTTAAGTAGATAAGAACAAGAGAATGTGAATCAATTAAAAGTAAATATAAGACAAAAAGTTATAGCTCCAATCACCACTAGCGTTTGTGGGAAAGAAGGCAACACCCAAATCCTAAGGAAGTGGGCATCAAAACCTTACAGTTGCCACAGGTGTAAGGTCTATAAAAGATCAGATCTCGACTTTACAAGGTCTCCACCAAACTAAATATGGAAGTAGATGTGGGGAAAACATAATCCAGTAGAAGATTTTTGGCATGTCTAACCAGTTCACACATGTGAAAAGAACAAACTAAGAGTTCATGCCCCTCAGTGAGGAAAAATAAGTACTGGTATGGCTCTTTTGATTTCAAGAAAAGAATCTCATAGCCAATAGAAACTAGTAAATATTGTACGAAATGAAACGTCAATATGTGGATCAACTAGTCCATGAATGCCAAATGATTTGATGGCCTCACATACTTGAATGAAACAGAGACAACTAAGGGAGTCAACAGCTTTAACACTATGAGCAAATGGTTTGCAGAAGTAATTAAATAAGATATGTTTTTCCATCACCAAGGTATTTATATGCTCACCCCTCATATCCTATTAGTCAACAAATAAGTAAGTGGATCATGGAGAACGAACAGAATTCCGGTAAGAGACAATGTGGTTCAAGAGATAAAAAAGAAACACAAAATGTGATTTAAGGGTACAACTTGTCTCAACACTATTCCTGATTCATACAATATGCATTATAAAAATTTCTAAACACATGGGAACAGTTCACGGATTTCAGTATTAAATTTTTCTGTTCTGATTTCTTTTTCTTTCTTTGGCTTTCGTAAATAAAAATGTAGAGAAGGCCAAGTGTCCAAAAAAGGGAAAGCGTGAGCAAGGCGACTAGTCAAACCAGAGAACATACTGGAGGTGACCTTAGCTCAACCATCAGAAAGGTCTAACTAATACTTGTGGCTAAAGCACTTTTACCAAATGGGATCATTTCAAACAAAAATTTTTTTGCAAACTCTTGAAAATAATGTCAGAAGCACGTGGGCACAAGTTGCTCAATGAAAGCATGCAGGAAACACAAGTTTCATGGGGTGATAGTCAACAGCTTCACCAGACAAAGTTGCTCAGCAAAAAGAACCATTGTAGCCTACCAAGCTGGTTATATATTCCTCTTCTACCCATCCATAAAACTACCAATCAAATTAAAACATTGAGAATCAATGAAGGCATGATGCTTTCACCATTTTCATTTTTAGGAGGTTTATTCTAGGAAAGCCCATCTGAACCCCACAGCATACATATAATAGGTTAACCAATGTACAGTTTTTCACCCATTTATCCTTCATGTACCTATAGAAACAGGTATCCTAAAAGAATATTTAGCATATTAACTATTGGTCATCTCTTTACTCCCTCAAGAAAGAAATTTTGACCAACAGTGAATCTCAACATGATTTCTAGCATCATAAGGACAGCTTAATGAACTCTGTGTAGCATTTGCAAACTGTAAAAAACAATACAAATATGATATTGTAATCAATGACACTTTTGCCAATAAAGGATCTTCATGTTTAGCTTGAACCTGGGTCTTACTATCATATGGATATAATTGCATATATAATGCACTAGCTTTGTATTAAAATGAGCTCTATCCTGAATGTGATCTTTTAGACATGATAAAATCCCACTCCTTTGAACCCATATTACAATGCAACTGGTTCAAAAGATGGAATATCAAAGAGAGACATCCAGCAAATTATCCCAGATACCCTCTCAAGAGAGCCATCCAAACCATTAATACTGAACAGCCCCCATACCAATTAGAATCATGTAATCTATGAACCTCAAACTAGACAAAGACATGACCAGGTCTGAATCAATCTTATAAAGTGTTACACCCTCTTCAAACATACATCAACCAATTCGTTGACAATAAAATTAATACAAAACAAAGAAAAATCTAATGATAGAAAATGATCGGGCTCAGTTCAATCTTAAAACCAACACTCCTCCTTCAAACGTACATCAACCGATTCCTTTGTTAGGTGAGTGTGGTCATTAAAAGCCTTATGAGTACTTGTAATAAAACATTTTGATATAATGGAACATGAACTCAGTGGAAGTGTGGTCCCTCGTGGACTATACTAAGCAAACAATGTTTGTTGATGTCGGACTGAGCTTGACAAGCTAGGTCAGTAGGTTGGGAAAAACCTATGTTACCAGGGCATAAAAAACTACCTGATAAGGGTTCTAATAGGTCATCCCTTGATGAGGTCGGAGTATGCTCGGATGAGTGAGCCGAGAGACTATGTGACCTTGTATGTGATGGGGGCCTTCAGAGAAAGCCTCATCTATACACCATCACACGACATGCATAATGATAGCCGTTTCGAAAAAGCGAACTACCTTTCAGGGTGAAGCTTATGCAAGTGAGAGAGATACCCCTATGCACCACAAGAGCTGTAGTCGCATCATGTCTAGGTGACCTTGGAACGTCTCTAGGGGAGAACCTGAAATCCACAAACTGGGATTACGACCCCTTGGCTCATCGGTCAGATTTTGGTGACCCACTAATGAGCCCTTCTGTGGACTATGGATCATGAAAAACACTGAGTCCGTTTGATAAAGCAAGTGTGGTCTGTAGTCCATAGATGAAACTAGAGTGCCCCAGTGTTTATTGATTTAATTCCTAGATCATATGGATCATTTTCCCATTTAATGAATTTAATGGTGTTTGTTTTATGGTATATTTTATTTGAATTTTTCTACATATCTGGATATTTTATTTATCAAATTTGGATTTATAAAAATAAAGATGTTGATTTTTTATTGATTTAAATATTCAAATAAAATTCTAAAAATCTTTTAATGAGTTTTAAAATAATTAAAATTGCATGAAGGGCCATTGTGCACATGGGCCCACCATGGCCTAGATGAAGGGGCCCATGAGATCCTCTCATGGGTGGCACGCCCCACCCATTTAGAAGCTTTCTTATTTCTAATTTTTTGTGATAAGCAACTTTGACTTGAAGGGCAAGTTGCTATGTGTTTTGGAAAGGTCTGAAGCTTTGAATGGATTTTTGAAAAGCATGAGAAGGCTTGTGCATTATTTTGGAATGCACAATACTATATTTGAAATTATTTTATTTAATTTCTATTGATGGAAAAATGGTTTAAGAAAGGGGGACAAGGGTTCTAGCACCCTCTATAATATTGATAGCCCATCTATGGAATGGAGGGTTCAAATCTCCCACCCCACAAGTCACCCAAGATCATTGGTTCATGTTCAATCTCATAAAAAAGGCAAGCCATGGAAAACCTTAAGAAACCTTAATCTTTTTCTTGCTCTATAAATAGAAGACCTCTCTACCCATGAAATCTCTACACCAAAATTTCTCTTCTCTCTCTTTGGTAGCAATAGGGGGCACACATCAACCCTAAAAGACTCTCTCTCTCTAGTTTATTGTGAGGGGGCACGCCCCACCTCTTGAACTCTCTCTCTCTAGGTTGACCTAAGGGGCACGCCCCACCTAGATGGTGTTCTATCTTTCTCATCTTGCTTTGATGAATCTAAGGGTTGGGTAGTATTAAGAGGATGCTATCTTAGACTAGGTCTTGTGGGTTTGAACCTAAGTCTTAAGTCTTCTAATCAAGAGGAGTTCATAGTTCCATTAGAGGGCTTGGCTTAAACTTGCTTTTCCAGTTGAGATTAAAGGTTAACCATTGATCCCGTGCCATCGGATAGTGGTAACTCAACATTGGGTGTAATAAGCTCAGTTGAGATAATCTCCGACATACTTTTTCTTTCTTGCATATTTAATTATATTGTCTTGATATAAGCATATGAAATAGTAGTTATTTCTTTGTTTAGAGAAAATTGGTTTAGTGGAATCAAGGTTTTAAGATCTTGGTTTTATTTTCTTTGAAGCATGAGTTATTGTAATGAGACTACTTGTGAGTGATATTTGTTAAATAAAAGGGGGTGAGAAATAATAATAATAATATCTATATATATTCCCCGGCAAGATCACATTGGTCTTTCTTTCATCCTTGACAATAAAATTTACATATATTAAACAAAAAACCAAAATGCATGATAAGAAAATGATTAGTGACGCCTAGTGCAAAGATCAATCAACCCTTTCCTACAGAATAGATGTCTGGAAAAAAAAAAAACTCCACTGACCAAAATAAGCAGCACTCTCTTAAAAAAAAAGAAATAAATAAAAAGAGGCACTGAGAATGCAAAGCATTGCTGTGTAATCTGAAAATGAAACGTGAGAATTTGAGATACGAGAAAGAGTCACAGTTATTTACTTTCCAGAGTGAAGAATCATCCTCACAAAACCAACGAGAGGCACCGTGTCTTCCAAAATTTGATCTTCCCAATCAACCCACTGCCTCTTCTCTTCTACTGCTTCCTCTTCGCTTTCACTCGAGCTACCATCAAAAGCAGCATGCGAAGAAGGCTTCCTCAACAAATCAGACTCACTTCGATCATGGGGCTCAACCTTGCCACCATAGCTCGTCTTCAGGGCTCGTAAGTGGGGATTTCGAGGATGCGGTAGAGAGAAGGGGCTTCTGTGAGAGAGACTGATAATGGGTTTGTCAGAGTAACGGTGCGTGAGTAAAGGATAGGAGAGTTTGGGAGTGACAGAGCGAAAACAGCAGAGAGAAGCCATGAATTATTATATCAAAGCATCCCTCCACTCTCTCTCTCTCTCTCTCTCTCTCTCTCTCTCTCTCTCGTCTCGTACTA